TTTTTTTTTTCAAAGTCCAACAAACAGTTTTCTAAAATCTTGGCTGCATTACCACGATGAGAAGTTTTCAGCCTATCTTTTACCTCACTTCCGACACCGAAACGAATTCGCGCAACACGTGTATACCATGAGAATGTGGAAAAACTGTAAGCGAAACAAAGCATCAAATTGCACATCCTTCATTGAAATACGGTAATGAGTTTTCACAACTGCATGTACGTGAACACTGAAAGAAGATCTCTAATCTGCCATAGGGATTTGGCCGGACTCGCCTGGAAAATTTGGTGGTATAAAATCCTCGCCTTTCATTGGTCAATTGCAAGAGCTTTATCAAAAACAGAAAATCCAAGAGTGAAAAGCTATTCACAAGTTTTCAACAAGGGTTTTGGATGTTGTGTTTCTTAGTAAATGGTTTCACTCCCATTTAGTCAGGTGGGACATTTTAAGCCCGGCCGCCTCATTATTGTTCAATGAAACAAAAAGCCGCGTCTTTAAAACGGAAAATATTTCTTCCAGTCTACTAACGTTGTTAACGATGTAAAATCAACAACAACAACAACGGCAAAAAAAACTTACTGCGCTAGAGTCTTCTCTTTTGATATTGTCCTCTGAGACCAACCTTCTTCCAAGATCAGCAAAACCTTCCTAACAGGCTAGCTCTCTGTGTAGAACTGAATTGAATGCTACCTTTGACTTCGCCTCCTTTTAAGAAGTTCTGAACATTGAACCAATACATCTGAAACTGACAGCCGTAAATTGGAAAACATTTTCATTGAAGTTCAGTTGACAAATGCCAGGAGTTGCTTGCACCTGTAAAGCTTGGGAACAGCGCATGCCCAATAACATTTGCCTAGGGTAGCCTTCTAAATATTCACTTAATGAAAAATTTTGTCGAGCGAGAAAAACTCTAAAAATCCCTCTAAGAATAGAAATTTTGAGAGCCTTAAGGTGAATCAAAACTAATTTCCTAACCAAAAAGTGTTCTTGCATTCCCAGACCCAAGTTTAAGGCTTATGTTATGGACAAAAATTACGACCGACACACCACGCTTTTAAACAAAAGAGGACAAAAAGCTACCCAGTGGGTCAGATTTGTCAAGTGTTACTAAGGGAGTCGCCATTTCGGTTCAGTAATTCTCTTATTGAAAAACCACCCTTAATTTTTGCCCATTGTTTTGTGGTATTAGCCAGGTTCCATCTAATAATAGATTGATTGACAGAAATACACGGAAAACTGGCATGACCGAATTGGCCTTCGAAAAATATCACTTCCCGTACAATGGTGACAATAAGTCCCGTTTCCAATCTCTGAACGACGTATCTTCCACCAAGGAATTTAATTATTTTTGTTTGCTAAATCTGACGATAAAAAGACATAAACTTGAGTTGTAAGGCTTGTGTGTTCGTCCAATGCTTAATAACTAAATCTTCCCACGATAAGGTATCACTGTTGGTTACCTAAAATAACTACTTTCCATACTAGAATGTTTGGTTCTTGAGAGTAAAGTTAACTGGCATAAAGTTGTCCTCTTGAAACAACTACTTTCTGGTGCCATGGCAACAAAAGGTTTTTTTTTTTTAAATGTATTTGGGGATAAGAACACTTTTTCTACCAAAGAATCTAATTATTTTTCTTTACAGTTTCTGAAGGACGAAAGTTCTCACAATTGAGCCGTGTATGCACACGCTCTTCTGTTGTTTAGTCATAACTCATAACTTGTCACGTGTAAGTAACGATAAGATATCACTATTGGTTACCTTAAATAGCCTTTCTCCAGCTAAGAATGCATCGGTCACTGAGAGGAAACTATGAATAACTAAAACACATTTTGCCTTTTGAAACACATTAGGGCTCTGTAATGGAGACAATAACTGTTTGAAATCACCATTTCGGGAGTAACAACATATCGTTTACCGAAGAATTTAATTATCCTTATTTAACGAAGTTGGAAAGGCATTCACAATTAAGCTGTGACTGCATACGCTCTTCCGTTGTCTATTTATTATCGCCAATGTGTAAGTAACGATACGGAATCGACACTACTGGTCACCTGAAATAAGTCCCTTTAGCTAAAAAAAAAATGGATCGGTTCTTGGAGATACAAATGAAACTGGCAAGAAACTGGCATTTGGGCATATATATTTTTCCTGCGCAATGATGAAAAGAACCCGTTTAAAATAGCCATTTCAAGGGTAATAACATGACGTGCCCCAAGGAATTTAATCATTTCTTCTTTGAAGAAGTTGGAAAGGCATACAGTTGAGATGTTACTAATTTTGTAACTGCTAAACATGAAATTGACAGCTGTGTAGTTACAAGTATTATTGAAGCTGTCAACTGTCAACTCAAAAATGTAGAAAACACTCGCCTGCGGCTCATTTCACTCGTGCTCTCAAATGGCTGTCGTGTTTTGTCACAGTGTAATACGCGGCTTAGATTTAGTTAGCAAAAACTAAGCAGTTTCCCTTTTCGAAAAGGGAAACTGCTTAAATAGTTGTCGACAGCTACGCTTTTTCCGTGTCTTGAAATCATTGCTTTAATTGTCGACAACTGTCGAAACATGACACACATTTAAGCTTGCGCACAATTTTTTGAGCATGCGTAGTGAAAGTTAGTTCCCAAGCTCTTGCTGGCCTGACTTAGTTTTCTACTACTAACACTGTGATATATAAAATGCTCGCATTGGACACAATGAGTTGTAGATAACATTTAGTTGTAGATAACAAATAGTTGTCGACAACTAAATGTGTAGACCATGGAGGCCCCTATATTAGCAATGCAAGTTTTACCAGTTGTGGCCCGAGGAATAATTAAATACCTTGGCACACGATGATACATCACTATTTTTCATTTAGGCTGTTGTTACCATTTCCCAAGAGATCATTGATTTCAATGGTCAATTTTTTACTATGTGTAATGTATTTTACGGAACCAATCTGTTGATTGTTGGACACTGGTCATTTCACGTACCCAACAGTGATATCCAAGCGTTACTTACATAAGCAAAGAAACAATATAATTACTATATCTAGAGAGGAAGCTACATCAGCCTTTGGGTGAACAGAATGTTCCCTAAGATCCGATCAAACATTTCGAACGCATTGTTGTTTTACCATGGGTACATGAATGTCTTGCAGCCCACAAGAAAGAAATGTAATCTATTTTTCAAGACAGATCGTCTAGATTGCTTTTACAGACACTCAAACTTGGTATCATAAAGAAACATTTTTACTTTCTCTAGCTCGACGAAAATTTTTTTTAATAATATAGGAGCCCTCTAGAGGACATATAATAGGAGCAAATGGCAGCAACAGATATCTTGACAGTTCTGGCGCAGGAAATACTTGTCCAATACACAGCTTTCAATTCCATTTTTAACAGTTGTTCATGTTCAACAGCTAAATTCTATGGCTTTCCAACTTCTTCAAATAAGAAATAATTAAATTCCTCGGGGGAAAAACATGTTGTTACCCTCGAAATGGCTACTTATAATCATTGCTCAGCAAAAAAAACAAAAACAAAAAAAATGCGCCCAATGGCCAGTTTCTTGCCAGTTTCATTTGTATGATACATCACTATTTTTTGGTGATTTCAAACAGCTATTGTCTCCATTACAGAGCCCTAATGTGTTTCAAAAGGCAAAGTTTGTTTCAGTTAGAGTTTCGTCTCAGTGACCGATCCATTCTTAGTTGGAAAGAGGTTATTTCAGGTAACCAATAGTGATATCTTATCGTTACTTATACGTGACAAGTAATGACTAAACAACAGAAGAGCGTGTGCATACATAGCTCAACTGTGAGAACTTTTGTCCTTTAGAAACTGCAAATAATAATAATTAGGTTCTTTGGTAGAAAAAGTGTTCTTTTCCCCAAATACATTATTAAAGAAAGAAAAAACCCTTTTGTTGCCATGGCACCAGAAGGTAGTCGTTTCATGAGGACAACTTTATGCCAGTTTACTTTACTCTCGAGAGCCAAACATTCTAGTATGGAAAGTAGTTACTTTAGGCAACCAATAGTGATACCTTATCGTGGGAAGATTTAGTTATTAAGCATTGAACGAACACACAAGCCTTACAACTCAAGTTCATGTCTTTTTAACGTCAGATTTAGCAAACAAAAATAATTAAATTCCTTGGTGGAAGATACGTCGCTCAGAGACTGCAAACGGGACTTATTGTCACCATTGTACGGAGAGTGATGTTTTTTAAAGGCCAATTAGTTCATGACATTTTTCCATCTATGTCTGTCAATCAACCTATTATTACATGAAAACTGGCTAATACCACAAAACAATGGACAGCAATTAAGGGCAATTTCAATAACATTTGTGTCGCAGGTTGAATTAAGAAAATTACTGAACCGAAAGGGTAACTCCCTTAGTAACACTTGACAAATCTGACTCAATGCTTAGCTCTTTGTCCTCTTTTGTTTAAACGCGTGGTCTGTAGGTCGTAATTTTTGTGCTTAAAATTAGCCTTAAACTTGGGTTTGGGAGTGCAAGAATGTGTGTTGGTTAGGGAATTAGTTCTGATTCACCTGAATGCTCTCGACATTTATATTCTTAGAAGGAATTTAGAGTTTTCTTCGCTCGGCGAAATTTTTCATTAAGTAAATATTTAGAAGGCTGCCCTAGGCAAATGTTGTTGGGCATAGGCTGTTACCAAGCTTCACAGGTGCAAGTAAGTTCTGGCAATACTGTCAACTGAACTTCAATGAAAATATTTTTCAATTGACAGCTGTCAATTTTAGATGTATTTGTTTAATGTTCAGAACTTCTTAAAAGGAGGGAAAGTCACAGGTAACATTCAACTCAGTTCTCCACAGAGAGCTAGCTTGTTAGGAAAGTTTTGCTGATCTCGGAAGAAGATTGATCTCAGAGGACAATATCGGAAGAGGATACTCTAACGCAGTAAGTTATTTATTTATCTATTTATTTTATTTATTTTATTTTTTTTGTAGATTTTACATCTTTAACAACCTTAGTAAACTGGAAGAAATATTTTCCGTTTTAAAAAACGGGGCGTTTTAATTCGTAGAATAATAAGGCTGCCAGGATTAAAATATCTCAGATAGCTAGGTGGGAATGAAGCCATTTGCTAAGAAACTCAATATCTATATCCCTTGTTGAAAACGTTTGAATAGTTGTTCACCCCTTTATTTTTTGTTATTGATAAAGCTCTTGCAGTTGACAAATGAAATGCAACGATTTTATACGACCTTATTTTCGAGGCGAGTCCGTTCAAATCCCTATAGCGGATTAGAGATCTTCTTTCAGTGTTCACGTACATGCGGTGGTGGAAACTCATTACCGTAGTTCAATGAAGGATGTGCAGTTTGATGCTTTGTTTCCATCACAGTTTTTCCACATTCTCATGATACACAATCGTCTCGTGAATTCGTTTCGGTATCGGAACTGTGATAGATCACGGGGATAATGCAGCCAAGATTTTAGAAAACTGTTTGTTGGACTTTCCAAAAAAAAAAAAAAGAATATCTATATGAAAAATGGCTCTCTTTTCAAGTTAGTTACATGATGTTAATATGGAAACCTTTGGCCTCAGGAATCAGCAAAGCATATTTTACTAAATAGTTATATCGTTACATGGATGAGAGCGCGGAAGGGATGAGTATAAGAAGGCTTGGTTTTTGTCCAGAGTGAACCCGCGGACGTTGATGGGGGTCGTAAGGTGGGATGATACTTTTGCTTTCGTTTCCCATTGTCTGTTCATTTAACTCTCTCAGAAACTTTGATGTGTTGATCGCTTTGGGGCTTCGTTTGAGAGTGCCATTGTTTTTTTTCTTTTTTTTTTTTTGTATGTGTGTGTGTTTTGTGTTTTGTTTTTGTTTTTGTTTGTTTGTTTGTTTGTTTTGTTTTGTTTTTAATTTATTACGTTATTTTATTAAGTTACAAACTATATAAATAGGAAAAACTAAACAAAATAATAAGAGGAAAATAGTAATAATATATAGATTTAGGCCAGCCTAAAAGCGTAGCTCTTGGGCCGGGTTGTTCAAAGCCCGATTAAGCTAACCCAGAAAAAGGGAGAATTTTGTTTTGAGTTTGGTAACTTTGCGGTGAGGTTTCTGTATATTGTTTGGCCTTCTGTTTTGAGTTTTAATAA